AAAAAAATGACAAAATACTGGTAAGTTATTGCTTCCATGCACCTTATGCTAGATGTTCTATATCTCTTTGTAAAACAAGAAAACTAAGTAAAAGTCTAAAGGATTGGAAAGGAAGAAACAACTGTCATAAGTAGTAAATGACATGATTATTTATATGAAAAACTCAAAAGATCAATTATTAGAATTAATAAGAGAGGTTAGCAAGTTGGTATATACACAATAAATCATGTTCAAGAATATGAAGATTCAATATTGTAAACTTGTGAATTCTCTGCAAACATATTCATATTTTCAACAATTTATATTTTCAACAAATTTAATCAAAACCTCAATAGGATTTTTCATAGATCATGACAATTAAAAAAACATATGCACGGGAAAGGTAACATATATAATCAGGACCTTCTTAAAGCAAAGCAAGGTGGGAGGACTAGCCCTACCAGATATCCAGACATATTATAAAGCCATAGCATTTAAAAGTGTGATTTCAGTGCAAGGATAGAAAATATACTGACAAAAAAGAGCCAAGAAGTAGAGCCACCAATGTATAAAAACATGATCTAAAATGAGGAAACTGACACATTGTGCAGTCAATGGTAACAGAAAAATCAGTTTCTAATGGTTAAAAAGAATTTGTTCCTTCCATTATACCATACACAAACATCAATCCCAGTTAGGTTAAAATCTTAAATGTTGAAGAAATATTTTATATTTTTACAAGAAATTATAGGCTGTCTTTATGACTTTGGGAATTGAAAGCGTTTATTTTATTTTATTTTTCTTTAACCTACGCCGTCGCCTGCGACTCATGGCAGCCCAGCTCCAGGTTGAGCTGTTGTTCAGCATCTTAGCTGTAGAGGGCAGTGTCGCTGGCCCTCATATGTGGGATCCGAACCGGGGCCCTCTGGTGTCCCAAGCCAGCTGTTAACCAGCGTGCCCCTCAGCCTACCCAAGAACTCGTGCTTTCTTTTTTTTTAGCTGAGCCAGCAGCTCAGCTCAGGCCAGGAATCAAACCGCTGTTGNCAGTACAAGGTTACACTAAGGCATTCACACATGGTTATGACTCTTTTTTTACTTATCCTATATATTGAATGGCTGATAAAACAAGGATGTCAAAACTGTCCCTACTCATGTCTGATGGAATTACAGATTTCCTTAAATGTGATAATAAAAAAAGGAATATCAGGCATTAAAGTGACTAGTCATGTTACCTTTGTATAATATAAAAACAAACCTCTATTCTACAGCCTTAGTTTGACCAAGTCTTCATAGGAAAAAATTTTTTTTGACTGGTTCAACCCATTCTATTGCCATAAATGGAAAATTAGTATTTTATACATCCTGCTAATGAAGTAGGCTGACTCTTGATTAGCCAAAACAAACTTTATCTTTTTTCCCCTCAATAAAGTCATTTGCTTCCTGGCAGTGAGTATGGACTAACATGCTGATGAAAGTTAGTAACTCTAGTTCATCTTTCAGTAATGCCCTGGACTTAAAGCACACACAAATGAAATTTTACTGTGGCTAATTGGGAACTATAAAGAAAAGTATAGAAAACATAAGTGCACAGTTTAATGAATTACATAATAAAGCAATCATCTATGTAACCACCTCTGGGCTGCAAAATATAACTTTGCCAACAGCCACCCAGTTGTAACACTTTACCTCCTCCCCCTCTGTCCAGACATTTACAATAATATGTTCCTTGCCTTTCTTTACAGTTTTACCACCTGATAAAGTATCACTAAATAAAATCATTCAGTTTTATCTGTTATGAACTTTCTATAAATGGAATCCTATATTATACATTTCTTTGGTGTGACTTCTATCACTCAGTGTTAGGCTTTTAAGATTTCTACATGTTGTTAGGTATACTTGTAGTTCGTTCATTTTAATTGCTGTTCATAATCCATTGTATGAATACACCTTAATTTACCTTTCCATTCTATTGTTGATGAACATTTTAATTGCTTGCAGTTTGGCGCTGTTATGAATAAGGATGCTATGGTATTTGCACATATGTATCCTAGTATATCTAAGCATGCCTTTTTGTAAGGTATATAATTAGAATTGAATTGCTGGGTTTGAGAATATATATATCCTCAACTTTACTAGAATGAAAAACAATAAAAATGAAAAAATAATTGCAAATTTATTGTACCTGTTTAACTGGTTTTATTTAACAAAGGAGTTTCTCAAATTCTAAAGGTGAATTCCATCTAGTATTGCATATTTCACATGGAAAGTAGTACATAATCTGAAAAAATTTCAAAATAAAATGCAAATGAAGTATTAATGTCTAAAAGAGATTAACAAACATTTGTACTTTTTTCTGACAAAAAATATATTTCTTCTCATAAAAGTGGCAAGAATGCATTACTCATTTTTATCAGAATCCGTAATCAAGCAGTAGTATGGACAGGAATAGACCCTTGTAGGGATTCAAAAGTAGAACATAATGCTTAGATTTTCATTTTATGGAATTCATATTTCTTTTATAATATTACTAAGTTTAGAAATCTTGCCCAACGTGCAACTAAACAATCATTGTATAGGCTTATTAAAGAACTCGCTCTTAATATATAACTTCCACTTTTATATTTATAAAATTTTGAGCATGGGAAGCAGCTTTACACTAAAAACAGTAAATCAAATCAGTACTCTATTTGACTGGTTCTCCTGAAATGAAAAAATAAAATAAAAAATTAAAGTCCCCATGCTTTGATTTACCATGAAACAAAATCTCTTTTCTTAAATTACATCAGAGTTTTTGGAACCAGTATATGAGAGATTTTTTTAGAAAGTATGTGTCATGGTATTAAAGATGCCACTGAGAACAAGGTAGATTTGGTCTCTGCTGTCACGCAGCTTAGAATCTAAAGGGAAATGCAGAAGAATAAAAAACTGAGATATTATGACAGAGTAAAAAGGCACATTAAAAAGAGCACTTGATCAAATAAGACTTGAAAGATGAAAAAGGCATGATGGAGAGGGAAGGACAAGATATGTTCTAGGAAGAGGAACAAAAGCCCAGAAAGGAGAAAGGAAGCACAGGAGGATCAGGAATTAATATAAGGATCTTAGGAGTCAGCCAGACATGAGATGAAATCTCAAGTGCTCTGAATAATAGCTGTGTGACTTTGGGTAAGTCACTTACCCTTTCTATTTCTCCCTATAAAATAGCAATGATAATACTTAAGGTTTTTGCAACATCAACTCTAAAATAATATTTATTAAACACACATAAAACAATTCCTCCATAAGGCTAGGTAGCAACTTTTATAGCAGAATAAAACATTTTGGAGTTGGGTGGTGCTCATGTGACACAGGAATATGTAGAGATAAGAATTTTAAGTCATGAAGAGCATTGGGCCATATTAAATAATTCAGTCCTTACGCTAAGAACAATGGGGAGTGACAGCAACAGATTGTGTTTCAGAAAGGGTGCTCAGGCTGTAGTAAAACTGGTTGAAAGGGGAAAAGAGTGGGAAAACCAGTGAGGACCTGCATGAGGTTAGTGGCAGTGGAGATGGTGGGACATGATGTATTTAAAAGATATTTAAATGCAATATGTCCATTTCTGACAGTATGGCAGACAGAACTAAAACTCTTCCTCTATACACCTAAATAATTGTGTGTGTCTATATGTGNAATGTGTCTGGCTTCTGTTGAAAGGATTATAGGTGATTTAAATATATACATTTTACTTCTACTTCACTAAGATAAATTGCATTATGTGTATATTCAAAAGATCAAAGTTAAAAAAAAAGTGCTCCCTACTTAAGAAAGGTGGTATAAAATACCAAGAGAAAGGATCAACCCCCTGCTCCATACTTATAAATATTTTAAATATGAATGAATTGCAAACTATTTACCTGACTAAAATATACTCTGGTGCTATGGTTCTCAGAGAATTCTGCAAAAAGCTTTTTTAATTCATTTTTGTCCTGCCTTGATACATTCTGTCAAAGCAGGTTTGTCATTTTAAAAAGAGGAGGATTTGTTAAATCGTGAAGTGCTAAGAAGCTGTTCAGCAGAGAAGATACACAATGTACCAAGCAGTTAAAACAAATCATACAGTATAACCTGTTAAGGATGTAATTGAGATACATGTAATCATTAACCTTGGAACAGACTGGGAATTCGTTAATGAATCAAATCAATACCCTCTCCACTGATCCATAATAATTTGAAAGAAATGAAAAATTTAACAGTTACTGTATGTGAGGTTATTGTGGGTTGCAATTAGCTAGCCTCCAGGAGATTATGTTACCTAGTTACCAGAAGGTAAGTATAATTTTCGTAGATCGTCTAGTGAGATTGTCATAAAGACAGGTGCCAGACATGGAAATGGGTCAGGAAAAGATATTTGGTATGGCCAGAACCTGGGTCACCTTTCTGTCATTTCATTTCATACATCCTTCTTAGGACATTTCATACTCCCAGATGATATGCATGTACTCCTTTAAAAAGGCATTACAATTGGATTTCATCAGATAAAAAAATGATTATCCCTGTTTTATATCTTACTACAGATCTATGTCTCACATGAGATGACAAAGAGTTCAAGACGAAAATTCTGCATTTGGGAACAGAATAACATGAACTTACTGCTGCAGGCAAGATACTGGGTCTGAAAATATTTCATGTTTGTACAGCTCCCTCCTCTTAACATTCCCAGCATGGCCATTATTGCCAGTAGAATTTTATAGAAGTATAGTAGAAGGGAATGAATGTCTTGCCCTATTGAACCCCCATATTTTTACATCTCCAAGTAATATGTAGCACCCTACAAAGTAGTTTGGAGAGAACAAAATGATTTCAGGGTCAATGGCATATATATAT